TTCCTTCCTTTTTTTTCTTTTTTGGTCACTCCTGATGTGGTTTGGAAACAAAAAGTTTCTCCTGCTCCGTTTTGAGCACAGAGGCTGACTCTGAGTCATCCTGTCCCCGGAGGTCCACCTTCCCACGCCTTTGCCGTCTTCTTTTGTTCTAAAATTAAACACCTCACAAATGCCTTTATCTCCCTTGGTGTGGGAAGTCGCTGCTCCGCCTCTTGGTCATCACTACCTCTTTCTACAAAAGCCCATTTCTCAATATTCGAATCCCACTCTCCCAGGTCCCGGAATAAGAATGTGGGTGGGGCTATGCAGGTGAAGGGGAGGTGCTATGCAGGTGAAGGGGAGGTGCTATGCAGATGAATGGGAGGGGCTATGCAGGTGGAGGGGAGGGGCTAATTCTTCCTGGCCAGAACCACATGGAGAGGGAGACAAGATTTGCCAGGTGATAAGATACTGTAAGTGCACCCATTTGATGCCACCTAAGCAAGGCAACAACTGGCCGGCGTGCCTGGAGAAGGGGATGCAGCCGAGTGCCAAGCTCACGTTCAGTAAGGGCAAAAGCAGAGATTGGAAAAGTTACTTTTTTCGGCCTTTGAGCTCCAGAATCTATAAACGGTGAGATTGTGGGCGCTGGAATGTCCCAATGTCGCTTTTCCAAACACTGGTGAAAATTTCTCACTCCTCATTTATCTCGTTATTCATTTTTCATGGAATAACTAGTTACCAGTTACCACCACTGAATAACACCTTACCACAGTCTCTTGAGACTGAAGGACGCCTACGCATTTTTCATTTAAATGTTCATTCACAGCCCGATCCTCAAGGCTCTCAGGTGGTTTACAAATATCATAGCAAGGTCACTAAAATCACAAACGTTAGAATCACAGGACGTAAAACTGTCAAAATGGCATCAATATGTTGATGGATCTTCTGATTTGGTTTAGAGACCGAGGTAGGCTGTCACAGTAGGCTTTGGACGGTATCTCAAGTCAACGCAGAGTGAGTTGTGACCCAGTCAGTCGGATTTCTGTCCTGATTTGGAACGGTTTCTAAAAATGGCCTCGCTTTGCCCTGGAGCTGAATCTAGGCATTTTGCTTTAATCCAGATAGTGTACAGAATCAGAGAATCATGGAGTTGGAGGGGGCCTGTAAGGTCATCCAGTCCAACCCCCTGCTCAAGGCAGGAATCCAAATCAACTCAGACCTGACAGAGGGTGGCCCAAGTTTCTCTTGAACGTCTCCAGCGCTGGAGCGCTCACCACCTCTAGAGCAAATCAATTCCATTGTCGTACTGCTCTAACAGTTAAGACATTTTCCTGATATTTAGCCTAAATCTGGCTTCTTGTAAATTGAGCCCATTGTTACGTGTCCTGCCCTCTGGGATGACGGAGAACAGATCCTGCCCCTCCTCTGGAGGACAGCCTTTCAAATATTTGAAAAGTGTTCTCCTCTCTCCCCTCAGCCTTGTTTTCTCAAGGCTAAACATGCCCAATTCTTTCAGCCTTTCCTCCTAGGGCTTGGTTTCCAGTCCCTTCATCATCCTTCAGCCTCCTCCAAACTTGTTTCATTTGGTCAGCATCCTTCTTGAAGTGTGATGTCCAGACCTGGACAGAATACTCAAGGTGAGGCCTAATAAGTGCTGAATAGAGGCGAATTTCTTCTACCTTGCGGGATTTGGAAACTATACTTTTATTAATGCAGCCTAAAATCACATTGGCCTTTTTTGCAGCCACATGGCACTGATGGCTCATATTCAGCTTCTGATCTACAACAATTCCAAGATCCTTCTCACTCATAGTATTGCTGAGCCAGGCCTACCCCCACCTTGTAACAGTGGTTTCTTTTTTCCTGTGTGCAGAACTTTGCACTTATCCCTGTTAAATCTTATTCTGTTGTTTTCAGCCCCATACTTGAGCCTATCAAGGTCTGTTTACATTTTGTTCCTTTCTTCCAAGCTATTAGCAACTCCACCCAATTTTGTGTCATCCCCAGATTTCATAAGCATCCCCTGGACTCTCTCATCCAAGTCATTAATAAAAGGGTTGAAGAGCAAGGGGCCCCAGGACTGAGCCTTGACGTCTGCCACTTCTTACCTCCCATCTTCCAGTACTGTGATTAGTAGTGTTTGGAGAAGTGTGAGGATGATTTTAGTAAGATTTCCAGGAGCAGCAAATTATTATTAATTTTTTTTTGCAATCCCCCCCCCCGCAAGGACACTCAAATATCACAAAAATGCCCTTATTACCGCCAAAGCTGCCTCTGCTGAATTTCAAGGTGACAGGTGTTCCGTGCGAGGCGCATGCTTCCCTTCGGCCTCCTCTGGGTGATCGCCCACTCACTGGCAGGAGCGTGGGCTTCTCTACTCTGCCTCCTCTAGCCCATCTTCCAGTACTGTGATTAGTAGTGTCTGGAGAAGTTTGAGGATGATTTTAGTAAGACTTCCAGGAGCAGCAAATTATTATTATTATTATTTTGCAATTCCCCCCCCCCTGCAAGGACACTCAAATATCACAAAAATGCCCTTATTACCGCCAAAGCTGCCTCTGCTGAATTTCAAGGTGGCAGGTGTTCCATGCGTCCCGCATGCTTCCCTCCGGCCTCCTCTGGGTGATCGCCTACTCACTGGCAGGAGCGTGGGCTTTTCTACTCTGCCTCCTCTAGCGGCTGCCCACTCCAAGGCAGCACTCCAGGCTTCCCTGCCCCGCCTCCTCATCTGAGTGGGCAATTGCCTGAGGAGGCAGAGCAGAGAAGCCCTAAGGTGGCAGGTGTTCCATGCGTCCCGCATGCTTCCCTCCGGCCTCCTCTGGGTGATCGCCTACTCACTGGCAGGAGCGTGGGCTTTTCTACTCTGCCTCCTCTAGCGGCTGCCCACTCCAAGGCAGCACTGCAGGCTTCCCTGCCCCGCCTCCTCATCTGAGTGGGCAACTGCCTGAGGAGGCAGAGCAGAGAAGCCCATGCTAGCCCTGGTGAATGGGTTGATCACCCAAGGAGCTGGAAGAAGGAAGCCCATGCTCCTGCCGTGAATGGGTGGTTGCCTGAGGAGGTGGAGAAGGGAAGCATGCTCCTGCCAGTGAGAGGGCAATGGCCCAGATAAAGTGTGGGAGGGAAGCGCTTGGCACCCACACAACACCTGTGTGGGCATCATCCGATCATGACCTGTTCCCATCTCTACTGGCAAATTTTGCTGCTCAATTAAACTGTTCTCAAAACTGCAGATTGCTACATCTGGTGTAATTTTCCCTCCCCATATCTCAGTGGTTTATGCATCTGGTTGCAAAGCCCGAGGTTGGAAGTTCAATTCCCCACTGGGTCTCCTTGACAGGGGCTGAACTGGATGGTCCACAGGACCCCTTCCCCACTCTGCCATTCTAAGATTCTGAATCCCGAGGACCCTGCTATAGCCGCCCAGCCGCCGCCAAACTCACCCGGATCTCCGTCATGACGGTGCACTTGACGAGCTTGAAGTTCTTGCCCATGTTGAAGCTGTTGCTGTAGAAGCAAACTTTGAGGATCCGGACCTCATCCTTGTCGATGTCGATGGGCACGCCCACCATGGTGGACTCGGAGGGCCCCGCCAGGCTGAAGCAGCTGCGCAGAGAGTTGGCCCTCATCCGGCTCAGGGCCTCTGGCAGACCGGACAGCATCTTGACTGATCAACGAGGGACGCTACAGTCGGAGCATCACTTCCTGGAGGAGAGGAAGAAAAAGAAGAAGAAGAGGAGCCAGTGAGAAATTGCTCCATCGCCTTAAATTGGGGATGAAAATACAGCAAGCTTCTGGAATCTATTCAAAGGCCAGAATCCTGTTCAGGATTTTTGTATATCTGCGTAGGCAGATGGTGTACATCACAGTAGCCAATCGCCCACTAATTAGGAAATTGACGCTTGCATTCTTGGACACGTACCAGTCGTGTGACTTGGCACGTGACCAGGAATGAGAGCAGCTCCTGGTTCATTAGTGGCTGTTTGCCTCCACGTTTTATGCCGTTAATCCTTATGCCGACATAGATGTCCGACAGGAACCTGGTCAGTCTGAAAAGTTCCATTTCAGGCAGCAGTTCCCAGAATTCCTCAGTCAGCGTGCTCGCTGGAAACTGAACTCGGGAGAAATGAGTTCCACTAAGTTTCTGGATCTGTTTCTTGTAAGAACCCAGAGAGACTCACCTACTCCATCTTGGGGCAAAGGGGCAGGGACTACGAAGAAAGAATGGAGAACCGAGGCATTTGTTTTGAATATCAGAAGCGACCTGGATGATACTGCTCTTCCTTTCAGCCGACAGTTCCACCCCTGGTTATCCCAAACGTTTCTTTCTTTCCACAATACGGGGGGATTTATTTTGCTGCAGCGATTGTGAGCTGGAATGTCTAGCATGCGTACATTGCTGAAACAGCGACGTCTACGTGTGTTATCCCAAACGTTTCTTTCTTTCCACAATACAGGGGGGTTTATTTTGCTGCAGCAATTGTGAGCTGGAATTTCTAGCATGCATACATTGCTGAAACAGCGACGTCTACGTGTTGGCGTGGGGCCAAAACTCTGGCGTCTTAATGAGGCTCTGGCCTCAAGAAAACTTCTCAGAGTCCGGTTGAATGTGAAGCTTAACAACAGCACTCTGGAAGACAAGCCTTTAAACTAAGGACACTAGTTATACAGAGCCTCTTATCAGACAGCTTCCATTTTTCCCACTTAAACAGCAAAGTAAGAGACTTAGACGTGGGGAAAAAATGACATAAGAGAGTTCTTAGTAGTTATAATATAGCAGAATTCAGATTCTGAATGGCCACTTTTACTGTGTTTCCCCGAAAATATATATATATACAGAGAGAGAGAGAGAGAGAGAGAGAATTGAGATAAAATACATACACATGCAAGACACCCATTTCAATGGACTCAACGTAAACCAAGTCTTTTTAGACCACTACAAAATATGAACACTACAATAATTGTAGTGTGGTTTTATCCATTGCCTGTAATCATGCACACATAATTTAGACCACTACAAAATATGAACACTACAATAACTGTAATGTATCTCCTAGGTATATTTTCCTCCTAGAGATTCACCTAACAAACGTCAAAGGTAAACCAGAGAGCCTTAACTCATTGCCACGTGGTTCTTGTGGATTTATCCATTGCCTGCAATCATCCACACATAATTTTGATATGTGAATTACCCCCAGAGTAACCCCTTTTCTCTAAAAAGAAAGGATCATTAGCCATTGTAAAAGGTTAGTCTCCTCAGTATAATGAACATTCATGTTATTCTACCATCGTTATTCAAAGCAGGTTCTTACATCCTTTTAGAGCACAAGCTTCAAAGCAATTTACTGTACCTGTATATCAAAGAGGCTATCACCCCACTGTTAAATACCCATGGACTTTCTTACCAACCAACCAGGTTGAGTTATTGAGACGGTGCCAGTGTTTCCCCTGCCCTCAAGGAGACACCCATTAGGCCCATAAGAAAGAAACCTAATTTGGCGGCGGATGAAACTGGGAATTATAGGCCTGTCACCAAGGTTTCTTTCATTAGCAAAGTGGTGGAGAGGGTGGTGGCTGATCAGCTCCAGGCTCTTTTGGATGAAACCAGCGCCCTGGATCCGTTCCAGTTGGGTTTCAGGCCGCGCCACGGTACGGAAACGGCAATGGCCGCCCTGTTGGATGACTTCTTGCGGGAGGCCGACAGGGGCAATATGTCCTTTTTGGTCCTCCTTGATATCTCAGCGGCCTTTGATACCATTCACCATGGTATCCTCCTGGGTCGGCTCTCCGAGTTCGGAATCGGTGGCCTTGCTTTGGCGTGGCTCCGTTCCTTCTTCGGGGACCATCCCCAGAGAGTGCAGCTTGGCGAGAGGACTTCCACCCTGTGGAGCCTCAGTTGTGGAGTTCTACACATTGATCTCCCCAATGCTGTTTAATATCTATATGAAGCCACTGGGTCAGGTCATCCGGGATGTGGGGTTTCATGTCATTCATACGCTGATGACACCCAGCTCTACCTCTCCTTTTTCCTACTGCAAGGGATGCTGTTCCGACCCTTGAGCGCTGCTTGGGGACCGTTCTGGGGTGGATGAGGGCAAGCGGACTGAGGTTGAATCCAGACAAGATGGAAATCTTGCACATGGGCGGCCCCGGCGTCTGTGGGGTTGGGAAACTCCCTCTCCTTTGGGGGA